CTCAACCACAACCCTGACCCCAACATTCGGGGGGACATCCCGCTTAAAATAAAAACGTGATTAAACGCAGCCTGGCTCTGCTCTAATAGCACAGGGATGTCATCATTTCTCTAAACCTTGTGTACCCCAGCCACTACCTCCCTGTAACTCCTCCAGGATGCTGGAAGAACTAACAAGACAAGGGCAGCCCGGTCTTGAGATCTGCTGGAAAAAGGGGGCCTAAGGAAAAGGAGAAGGGGGGCCCACAGACTGCAGTCAGGAGGTAGGACACAGGACTGGGAAAGCACACAGCCTGAGGAACAACGGCCATGTGCGTCAGGGTCCTGGCGATGCCAGTCCCCAGCTGTGTGGTCCTGGGTGACTGGCTTGCCCACTCGGCATCCTCATCTGGAAAATGGAGTTAAACACACACACACTCCCCCGCTCTCTACTGGCTTGTTTGCAAATGCAAGTGTCCACTGCTCCATCCGCACGCTGGGTCCCTGGTCCGAAAGCATCTCTGCTCTCATCTGGATGACCAACTAGCCTCCTCACTGGCCTCCCTGCAGCACCTCTCCCTGGTCTGCCAGCTTCTCCCGCCTTGTCCCCTCTCCTTCTCCCTCCCAGTTGCACCCATGCTGCAGGGCCTTTGCACTGGCTGTCTGCCCCCTCTGCCTGTTCTGCTCATCTCCCGTCTTCCCGGGCTGGGTTTCTTGTCAGGTCTCAGCCCAGATGTCCTCTCGCAGAGCTCCTCCTGGGCGGTGGTCCCCACCACAGATCTGGCCACTGGCCATCAGATTCCCCTGGGTACCTCCTTCAAAGCCCTTACCTTGTTCTGAAAATCACCTGAGTGGTTCACTTCTCTGTGCCCCCCAACTACCAGGTGAGCTCCCTGAGGCCAGGACCACATCTGCCTCAGTCACCACTGCATCCCCTGCACCGGGCCTGGAGCAGATGCTCCAAAAATGTCAGTATTAGATGGCTCTGTCCAGCTCCTGGCACGTGCCTGGAACGCCATCGGTACTCGGCAAACGGCACTTAATGTGACTGCCAGGAGCTGAGGGGGTCACAGCTAGGAACACACACCTCGGAGCTGATGGCTTAGGGGCACATCCCAGCTGTTTCCAGATATGTGACTTTGCACAAGTCACTCAACCTCTCTGTGCTTCTTTCTATTCAAAAAAGGGGACAATCCCAGGGCCCACCTGGAGGACTATGAGAACTAATGCACAGAAGCCCAGTTAGAACAGTGCCTGGGCCTGCAGGGATCAGTAAGTTTCATCAGTCTTAACAACCCGACTGCCCACCCTGCCCAGACGGGCTGTGGTGAGAAACCCAGGGGAAAATGACAGAAGTCTCTAACTCTGCAGGCCTGTTGCTGTGAGAGGTACGCCGGCCGGCTACAGGCTTAAGAACAGCCAGTGCCACACCTCTGAGTCTAGGGGACCCGCCGCCACAGCTCTGGGAAGGGCTTCTGCTCCCCCGAGCAGCCAGGCCCTGCTGGGGCCCAAGCCCACATCCAGAGAGGTGTGCAGACGGCCAAGGACGAAGCCAAAGGTCGTTGTTAAAAGCACTTCGGCTCCTGGCCTCAAGTGGGGAGACAATAGAAAGGCTAGGAAGGAAAAAGGAGGTATCGTGAAACAAACAGATGTTTGCCAACGAAATCACCAGGAAGCAGGAAGAGCGGGGCGAAGAGCAGGCGCAGGATGGGGCCGGGGGTGGGGGTGGGGGCTGGGGACCAGTGGGAAGGCTTGGAAAGCAAGGTGGGCCGGAGGGGGCTTGTGGAGGCAGGGGGAATGTGCTTCCATCTGTAGTTGGCACAATAAAACCCAGTCACGCATGGCCACATGGGGCTTTATTATAATCAGGCCGCAGAATTTACTGTGATTCCCTCCCCTTTACAGCTCTCGGTGCGGAAGGCTGACAGCACAGACTGTTATCAGTTGCAAGCAGCTTTTCAGGACCTCCTCCCACTCGGAGCCCTTTATCTGGAGGTGAGGGTCTTGGTTGTGGGGAGATAAAACACACTGTCCCCCTCCCCTGAGACCAGTACAGAGAATGGAGGGCTTTGCAGAAAAGAAGGGGAGGGGTGAACCAGAAAGCCCTCCGTCCACTCCCCTCCTGCCCGCTTTCTTGCAGAGCCCGAGAAAATCCAGGGCCCGGGGGCTGGCTGAGTCCCCGGCAAGGGGACAGGGAGCTGGGGAAGCTTCGGGAACAGCGTGGAGAGGGCGGCGTGGGGGCGGAGCAGGTGAAAAGGAATAGCACGGGGACCGGGGAGCGACTGTGCATGCGATGCCTGTAGAAGAGAAACAAAAAGGGCAAGAGGAGGCCCGGGAGGTGAGCTCCATGGGGACCCACCTGACGATGCTGGACTCAGCAGGGCTGGAAATCGGCACAACTTCTCGGCCCCAAATCCAACTGGTTCTCTACAACTATTTGTTCTCTCCTCCCAGCTCTGAAGCCTCCTTTGTGTGAGTGACAGCAGGACCCTGGACAGCAGCCCCCTGAGAAGCAGGGCCTGGAGGGGACAGTCTAGGACACTCTCAACACTGGAGCCTAGGCCGGGGACCCAGGGGACACTGGGGGCTGGAGGGACAGCACCACCTTCAGACCAGGGTGCCCTATCTCTGCGAAGCCTCCCCTCGCTGGGCTCCAGAACGTTTCTGTACCCTGAGCCCGCTTCTATTACTGCAACCTCTCAGCTGTCCCCAAGCAGCCCCCTCTGTTCCCCTACCACCCGGGAGCTTCTGGGAAAGTGTGCTGGGCCCACACTGGTCACCCCAGCTCCGTGGTGGGCATACAGCTGGTGCTCATGGTTGAGTTAAGACTCTCTACTCCGGCCTGTGTTGCTGAATTAAGACAGGGTCAGAGTAACGGTGACTGACACATAGCTTTTCAGAACACTCTTGAAAAAGCCTTCTGCCCATTTTACAGATGCAGAAACAGCCCCAGAGAAGGACAGCAGCCTGCCCAGTCACAGGGCTAGGAGAGGACAAGGAAAATGGCGACTTTCCTGGAAGCTGTTAAGTCTCACGTTCCGAGGACCCAAGGTGCTCGGCCCAGGGCCTGGCGTGGGGTAAATGCTGCTTTTGCCCGTGGATTTGCTCAGCACCCACTTACTGCTCTCCCACCAGGGGCTGGGCGCTTTCCCAGGTGCTGGGGTGCAGCAGTGAGCAAGCAGATGCGGTACCTCGCCACCCCCCCACAGTGGAACGGCCAGTCCAGCAAGGGAGTCAGACAGACACCAAGGAAATGAACCCACAATGAAGCACTTTTGGGAAGTGATAAGCATTTAAAACAAAGTTGGGGATGGGTACACGCTGGTACCCACAAAGGGAGCCGTGGAGATTACTGCCATGGATGATGTCATGATCTGATACTGAACCAACAACAGAGAACAGATTGTCCAATGTCACCAAGCTCTACTTTGCAACAGGGCTTAGGACACAAAAACAAGGGTGACCCCGCCGCTGCCTTTCACAGGCAGAGGGAGAGAGGCACAGAGACCCTTCTTCCTGTGTTTATTTACTCCCTCAACTCACTCATCAAGCGACCCCACGTCTAGGGCCTCGTGGGATGCTCGGAACCCAGCAGGGAGCGAGTCAGATGCTCTCCGCCCTCCTGGTTCTCCGTCTGGCAGAGACGGATATTAAACAAGGGAAACGAACGAACAGAATAAATACAAACTGTGACAAGTGTTAACAGCAGAAAAGAACGGCGCTCAGGCAGGGAAGCACCAGGACGCGTCAAAGGAGCACGGCGACCTGGGGGCGGAGGGGGAGCACCTCACTCAGTGGTCCCGCCACCACCAACACAGGGAGGGGCCTCTGCTCAATCTGCCTCCAGGGCCCTCACTCCTGGCAAATCTGTGCTTTAAAAGAGGACTTGCTTTTGGACAAAAAATCATCAGTCACGTTGAAGTTTAGTAAGTGAAGTGAAAACCAAGGTCGCTGATCATTTTGGGGTGATGGCTAGTTAAGAACAAACTGTGACTACACAGAACTCTTTTTGATGGAAGCATGGGCAGGTTTGGAGGGAACACCAGTCATGGATAAAAATAACTCATGAAGAGAAGCTGATGAGGGGCTTTTAAAAGAGTTACATCAATAATCGGTAACCCCAGGGGCTAGGGATGTTTTCGGGGGCCTCAGAAAGCAGAGACTGAAGGATTTTCCTCTTCGACTGAAACAAGGCTTCTGGACCAGTGGTTCCCAAATGCCTTGTAGCAACTGGGCCATTCCTGAAGGAGGTTTCACCGAGCTAGGATGACATGGGAAGTGCAGACAGCCTAGGGAGGTTTACGGACAGCGAGGTCTATTCAGTTAAAGGACTGGTCTTTAATCTGAGAAGTTCGCTTCCCCGCCCCCACTTTTTCTCCCCTCGTAAACACCCATTCTCCTGTGAGGACAATGAGAGGGTATACGGGTGGAGGGTGTTTATTTTAATCCTTATTTCAATAAACTGGCAACCCTATGGTCAGATGGGGGGGGGTAGTATTGCTGATGGCCAGGATCTCAATGTCTGGGTAAGGGACTGCCAGCGCCAAGTCCTTTTCGAAGCTTTTCTAAAGGTCTTTGATTCCAAGACGGGGTCATGGTCCCCCAAGTGGTTCTCAGCTGGGGGCTGCATCACCCCCCTAGAGGGCATCGCAGAATGCGGGGAGTGTTTGAGACTGTCCCAATCCCGGGGGCCTCTGCTGCCATTCTGTGGGCAGGATCCAGGGATGCAAAATGTCTTAAACAACGTGCCAAACAGCCCCGACAAGGAAGAACTGTGCTGCCTGGAGCACCAGTAGCGCCCCCTCCCCACCCAAGGGTGAAGCATCAGCTGTGGGCGGGGCCCTGCATCCCTTCTCTTTCCTGCCTTTGCAGTTGCTGGACACTAGAGGGCGCCAGGCCACCCCAAGGACCCTTCTCCAGGAGGGTCAATCTCACCCCCCAGGCATCCTGGCGGATGGATGAAGCAAGAAGGCTGTTTTCTCTTGCTCTGTTCAGAATCCCTGCTAGTAGATTCTAGCCATTTTGTCTTTTTTTAAACCACCTTTACTTGACAAGCCAAAAAAGTCAGTTTCCTTATGCTATACCCATAATTTTTATGTTCTGTTTTTTAAATGGCATTTTCTGTGCCTATAAAATTAAACCAGTCTCAGAATGAATAAAGAACTTTAAACTAAATACCTGAGAAACAATTCAGTGCTGCCCCCTCACCCTCGGTCCTTCCCTGGCCTGCTGCCCCAGGACACCCCAATCTCAGATCTGGCTCTTACCTGTTTCCGGCTCTGTCGTGTCCTGTTTGTCAGGTTCTGCCGGTGTATCTTGGGGTTCTTTCTTCTGTGGGGCTGGGCTGGAAAAGACGCCCACTGGAGCCCACTCCAGATACAAGGGGATGTGGTGGAACTGCAGAGAAGGGGTGGGGGAGGGACTCGGTCAGCGACACAGACGGAGAGCCGGAGGCTCAGAGGATGGGTGACTTGCCCCAGGGAATGGAGCACAGCCTAGAACCCTCCAGGCTGCCTGAGCCCTGAGGACACAGGGCACTGCTACAGCCTGGGGCCTGGGGAGAGGCTAGGGCATCTGCTGTCACTGGACACATCTGCATCCCCTTGTGTTTTCTCTAATGTGAATCGGGAGTGGGATGCGGAGGGAGCAGAATCACTGATACAGGCAGCCTGCCCCAGAGGAGGTGCAGCAGGGCGGTGAGACAACATGCTTTCTCTGTCTCTCCACGTACGTACGCTCACAGGCAGTGCGAGGGCACATGTGTACATGCAGAGAGATTTTTTTTTGGATAAACAAGACACTGACAAACAGTCTGCAAAGCATTGAAGTGCCTGATAGAAGAGAAGCCACTTGTCGTGGGCCACATAGTGGCCCTCCAAACGCTATGTCCACGTCCCAACTCCCAGAACCTCCAATATGACCTTATTTGGAAAAAAAGGTCTCTGCAAATGACATTAAATCCAATGATAAGCATCATTACAAGAGAACAGTGAGGGCAGACTTGAGACGGAGAAGAAGAGGGGCCACGTGGACAGAGACAGAGACTGGAGTGATGGAGCCACAAGCCAAGGGACACCTGGAGCCACAAGATGCCAGAAGAGACACAGAAGGATCCCCCCCCTCCCAGGAGCCTTCAGAGAGAGCAGGGCCTCGGGACTCCTCGACTTCAGACTTCTGACCTCCAGCACTGTGAGAAGAGATTCCTGTTGTTTTAAGCCACTAAGTTTGTGTTACATTGTCACGACAGATAGAAAAATTAGATATACTAACAAATACATGTATATGCATATACATACACACACGTATCTATACATATGTATATAATGTAGAAATACATATTTTTTCTTTTTACCGAGAAACAGGATAACCTACCTATGGAATTGACTTTCAACTAACTGTAGGTACAAGACAATCAAAGCACCAAGGATGATGGTTCAAATCTAAGTGTTAACAGAAAGCCAAGGAAAGCCAGGGTCAGGCAGGGCACCGAGGCAGGCTTTCTGGAGGGTGGGGTGAGCCTCCCCTCACATTCCCCCATCCCGAGGCTATCCTGGGGTCGGGTGACCGCGAGTCCCCCTGTGGGCTAGGTCCACCCAGAGACTGTCGCTCCATCAGCTCCCTGAGTCCCCTGCCTCCGTCCCCTCCCCGGAGCAGGTCTCGGGCAGCCCTACCTTGGAGTAGGCCAGGTGTCGGAAGGCCCTGCGGGCCTCCAGTGGCTCCAGGAACTCCACAATGGCAGTGACGCCGCCCTCGGGCAGCAGCACGCGGCCCAGGCTGCCGAAGCGGCCGAAGGTCTCCTGCAGCTCGGCCGCCAGGGTGCCCGCCGGGAGGTTCTTCACCAGAATCACAGTCTTGCTTCGCTCCGCTGCGGCCTGCAGAGAAGGCACACACTCAGGTAGGACAACAGAGGAGAGGTCACTGGTCCCCAACACTGGCACTGGCCTGGGGGTGACTCCAGACCAGGCATCCACATGGGACCTCGGTTATGAGGCTCTTAGGAAGTGGGTCCTGGAGACCCCACCCTCCAGGGCACCCTGCTCCGTGGATGACAGGCAGCGCCGAGGAGTGGATAAGGGGGATGACTCCAGAGCTGGACCGCCTGGGTCAAATCCCGGCCCTCCACATCTGAGCCGAGGCAGAGTCTGATGGTGCCCGGACACAGCCCTCGCTGGACCTTCCAGAATGTTCCAGCCCAGGCCAGGATCTGCATCTGCAGGCTCAGGGCCTTTTCCCGGAATGGCAGACTGCCTGCTGCCACACGTGTGACAGGCGGGGTGTGTGTGCCGGGACGTTAACACCGCCTGGGAGCTGCCCCTGACTCTCAGTCATTGCTGCATCCCTTGTCCTTTGGGTGGGACAACTCTGAGGTGTGAGGGGCATGGGGGTCCCCCAGGGAAAGCTCCAGTCAGCTGCTGTACCATTGCTGCTGTGACAGCATGCCCTGCACTGGTCTCCTCCCTACACTCGTCCTGTCTCACCAGTGTCTTCTGTCCTGTCCAGTGAACTACCTGCATTTGAATCTGGCTCAGAGGTGGCTTTTGGAAGAACCCAAACCAAGACACTAGGTCTATGGCCTTGAGGAATGTGCCTAACTGTGTCCCTCACCTAAGGACACAGCATGTACTTCATGCATCATTCTAGATTCTGTGTGACTGAAAACAAGTGACGTCACCGCTCTGACTGCGGTCCCTTCTGTATAACTGGAGTGCAGGAGTGCTGCCTTCCTGGGCCGCATGTCTGAGCCCAGTGATCTTACTTTCTTCACAGACAGTTGAGAAGTTAGTAACAGCCATCCTTGACAGGCCTGACCCTCCAACCCACCCGCACGCCCGCTGGTGTGAAACCTCACCCCCAGCTCTCCGGCGGCGGGTGGCCCGAGCCCCATGTGGCCGGCTGGGGGGCGGCAGGCACCCACCTGGCTGAAGGAATCCAGGCTGACTCCGTTGTCGATGAGGAAGCGTCGCACCTCTTGGACGAGCTGGGTCTCCCCCAGGGCCACGCGCACGGCCACGCTGCCCTTGGTCTCCTGCGGGAGAGAAACGGAAGACGCCCTGTCGGCTGCCGGGTGGGTGACGGGTCCGCCCTACCATCTTCTAAGGGCTGGAGGAGGAGGAGTGAATGGAGATGGTCCCTGCCGATGCCCCTAGCCCGCCTGCACTGACTTGACAGCTTGGCTTCCGTGTCTGTCATGATGAATCCAGGACCCCACGCCCACCTCTCCTGCTTCACTTCCTCTCTCTCCCCCTCGCTTCCCGGACCCCGGCTGGACGTGCAGGTCTCTGTGTGGTTCCTCCCATGTGCCACATTCCCAAATGGGGCTTCTGCACCTGCCCACCTTGCCCTCCATCCAATTTCTGCTAGAAGGTCACTTCCCTGACCAGCGCACCTCGAGCTCGCACCGTACCCCTGCTCAGCTTAACCGACACGCAGCACCTCTGTTATCAGTCAGGGTCTTCCTCTGCGAGAGAGCCCTGCTGCGCTCCCAGCACTCAGGGCGCAGGTGGGATCCAAACCCGCCACAGTCCCTCCCGACCGGGAGCCACGGGGCCCAAGCTGGCGCCCGTGAGTTCAGCCACTAGGCACCTGAAATGTGGCTCGTCCAAACCGAGAAGTGCTGTGAGCTGGATTTTGAATACTTAGAAACCAGAAATCCACAACTGCTTGTCATTTTTTAATATTATATATAATGAAATAATATTTCAGCTATATCCAATTAAATAAAGGAGATTCTGAAAGTTAAGTTTACGCCTGTTTCTTTGTGTTTTAAAAAACCATGGTCACTAGGACGTTTACAGTTAGGAATGGGGCTCGGCTCCTACATCTAATGGACGGTGCTGAGCTTCGGGGTGGGGCAGGGGGAACAAATGACAACGGGTCAACAAGTTTATGGACCAGATCCATGGATACCCTGCGCCCACTGGCTGAAAACACACTCCCAGGTTTTGCCTAAGATGAACCTGACCGTGGTGTAACTGGAGACATGAGCATTAAGGAAAGTATGTGGTCTGGGGGGGGAGGTCAGATGGAAACAAGGCCAGACTTGGGAGAGCAGGAGAGACAGAGACCTGTGACTCCCCTGTGCTCGTCTCAGAGACCTGGGGGGCCAGGCCGAGGAAGCAGCGGGGACAACCCTCAGAGACGGGTGTGACTAGCTCAGAGTGAGGGCAGTGGTGTCAGGCAGACCTGCTGTCATCCCACCTGCACCTCCTTCCAGCTGTCTGACCCTGGGCAAGTGCCTTTGTGGCCGTGGGCCTCGCTTTCTCTCTCTGGAAAGAGGGGCTGGTAGGAGTGCCTGTCCCTCCATCAGGGCTGTGCGGGGAGGGGGAGGACCACACTCTAAGTGCTCAGCATCACCAGTAATGCTCCCCAGCGTGGCTCCACGCACGCTCCTGGGAAGCCAGGGCTGCAGGGCGGATGGGGATGTTCCCACGGGGAGGGAGGCCCTAGAGGGTACCCACAACTGCAGCCCCAGAGGCCCCCAGCCGGCAGATGACCCCAGCTTGATGATGCTCCGCCCCTGCCCAGAGCCGGGGGCGCCCACTCACGTGGTCAAACACTTGACTCTTGGTGGCGCTGTACTTCTGAGCGATGGCGTCGGCCACCGCATTGGGGCCCATGAACAGCGTGTTCCAGTTGTGGGAGCTAAGAGGCAGAGACAAGAGCAGAGGGGTCAGACCAAGGCTGAACGGGGGCAGTTTTTTTCAGATGCAAAGCCTGGAGGAAATGAGCTTGGGGGCCTGCCTTTCTAAGCCCTGAAAGCCTCCTCTTCCCCAGTCTCACCTGGTGGGGACCAAGCAGCCAGGGCCCGAAGACCACAGAGCCACAATGATATTCGCGACCCCTAACATTTGTCAAGCGCCAGCTCTGTGCCCGGGGCCAAGCACTTTCGCTAACATTAACTTACTCCTTACGACACCACAAAAGTGAGGCACCACTGATTCTCCCCATTTTGCAGATGAGGAAACTGAGGCTCAGCAAGGTCAGGAGCCAGAGCACCCGAGTGGCAGGGGCAGCAGGAGCCTGGGTCAGAGGCGGGCACCCACCTGGAGCTGTTGGCTTTGTCTTTTGACTCTTTCTTCTTCTTGTAAGACGATGATCCCGGGGTGTCGGTGTCCTCGCTGGATTCCTTCTTAATGGTGGATGGTAACACGTGGAGCATCCTGCCCTGGAGAAGGATGAGGGGAAGTGGGTAAGGACAGGAAGGAGGCAGGTACTGCTACACCCTGCCCCCGGGACGCCGGCACCTCCACGAGGGGGCTGGACCCGGTGCTTAGACCCTCATGCAAGATGGGGCCTCTGGCAGGACGATCACGGGGCCACCCTAAACCCAGAACGGGGGTCTGACACAGCCTCCTGGAGAACACTGGTCACCCCAGGCCCATCCTGTCCCTGCAAACGGAAGTGAGAGCCTGAGCTCCAGGCGGGCGGGGACCAGGTCTGGCCCGGCAACCACAGGGGGTCAATAAATCATGAACAAATGAAGGAAAGAAAAGGCAGAGGGAAGGGAAGCAGCCTGGGGCTCAGGCAGGCACGCTAACAACACCTCCTGGTGACACTGGGAGAAGTTCCTTACATTCTGTTGTGACCATTTCAGTGACTGGGTCAACACTCTTCCCTTACTTTTCTTCCAGTGACTATTTCTTGAGACAAAGAGCATACTCACTCAGTCCATAAATCCCTTTTGAGGGCCTACTATGTGCCAGGCGCTGCTCTGGGTGCTAACGATAGATCACTGGACAGAGCAGAGCGGACCCTGCCGGGTGCAGCTACCTTCTAGTAGCTCCTGCCAGAGGGCGGCTTTGTAGACCACTGGGTGTGCTCCTTAGAAACACAGGCGTGTTTCCGTGCACGCAGGAGTGAGTGTACACATGCACGGCCTCTCCCCATCCCCGGGGCCCAGCGGCCTGCCACCCGCCAGCCCGCGGGCCTCACCTGGAACACCTGCCCATCCACCTCCGCGTAGGCCTTCACCGCGTGCTCTGGGAACATGAAGGTGACAAAGGCAAAGCCTTTGGGCTTCTTGGTCAGGCTGTCGATAGGGTAATGCAGCTCAGACAGGGGACCTGCGGGCAGGAACGGCGTCAGTCCTGGGTCCTGGGTCCTACTCAGGGCCTCCTTGTCCCTACAAGAGCACCGTCCACCAGCTCCGAGCCTCTGCAACTCACAGCGGGGAGACACCGCAGGGGGTCATAAAAGCATCGAGACCTTTACCCCCTATTCTGAACCCTGCCTTCCCTTCAACAGCCATGACTTTACAAACAAGCACAGCCCGGTGGGCGGAGCTGAACTACGGTCCTTCAAGTTCATGTCTGGCAAAATAAGACGGACAAGAATGACAATAAACATAGTCCTCGCCACCAAATCTATTCATATACTCAGTTTGAAGAGTGAGACTATTCAGACAGCAGAGTTCAGACCAGGGGAGCACGGCCTGTTCACATGTACACGGCCAGCGGACGTCAATACCGAAGCATCGGATGGTGGGGGTAGCTCACAAAACTGCACCCAAATCCCATCAGTTCTGAGTATGGACAAGAGTGAATGGGGTCTGGGTCCGGACGGCAGAAGGTGTCTGTGATGCTGTCTGTGACTGGAGAGCTCTGCCGTGTACATCATGTATGAATCCTCACAGTAGCTCCAACCCCATTTCATGGATGAGAAAACTGAGGAGCAAGTCACCAGCCCCGGGCCAGGAGCTGCTGGGAGGCAGATGGGGACCTGGACCACGTGTCAGGGGTACGTGCGGCGAGCCGGGGGCCATGTCCCTACCATATTTGGAGAAGAGCTTCTCCAGGTCCTCCTCGGTGCTGGTGTAGGGCAGGTTTCGCACAAAGAGCCTCCCGGAGTCGGCCAGGTCCTCCTCCTCTTCATGCTCCCCAAGCGTCCGGCCTTGCCAGGGTTTGGCGGTGTTCTTCAGGGGCGCCTTGGCCGGGGGGATGTTTTTCTCCCGGAACACCTCGATGTAGCGCCCACCTGCACGAGGAAAGAGAGTCAGGTCCCTGGGGGATGGAACCTGCAGTTTCCAAACTCTTCTGCTGCCTTCCAGATGCCACAGTGGAGGCGGTCTATCATGGTGCCGGACGCCAGGCTCTGGTAACCAGGGTGGCGGCCTGAGCCGATGCCGGCCTGAGCTGGGAGGCCCTTTCCCCGAATCTCACTCGTCCTGCAAGTTCAGCTTCAGCTGTGGGTGGGCCTGCCTGGGCCAGCCCAGTCCCCGGTGCCACAACCTCCCAATTCCAGGGCCTGGTACTGGGCGCTGCCCTGGGGACCATCTTGTGTGACGACCCAACCCTGAGGAGCCGCCTTGTGCTGCTGAGCTGTTTTCCTGCATCGCCCTGCGTGCCCTTTTAGAACGCGACCATCACCTCCACATGCACGCAGTAGGTGCTCGATAAATTCCTACCACCCGACTTGCTAGCAAGATGGCTTGGGCTCCTCCTCTTCCCTAACAGAACACGTACCTTCATGAGGAGGGGACGGCTGGATCTGAATCACCTGTCCACGCCAGGGTCGGGCCAAAAATCAAGTCCCTGAGTATCCCTCAGGTGACCTCCCGACTCCGGACCCTGGACTTGCTGTTCCCTGGACTTGCTGTTCCCTGCAGTGGAACGGCCCACCCCACAAAGCCAGAGCCTGCTCCCTCTCGTCCTCCAGGTTCTGCTCCAATGTCACCAGCTCAGTGAGGCCCCAGAGGACAAGATACTGTTTCAAACACGCCTCCTCTAACCCCAGTCCTCTCCTGCATTCATCCATAGCCCAGCCCCTCTGGTTACTGCCCGTCTCTCCCTCTCTATGTAAGTTTCCTCTACAGGAAGGGCAGGGGGTTTGGACTGTTTTGCTCACAGCTGTATCCTCAGTGCCTGGCCCTCGAGAAAACTTTACAGAGAGACGGAATGAATGTCCGAGCCCCTGCCACCACGCAGGGCTGGCCCCGCCCGGGTGCCCTTACCCAGGTACTCTCTGTTGCATTTCAGAGCTTTCTTCACCTCCTCTTCGCTGCTGAAATCCACAAAGACGTACCCTGTAAAAGGACCACGATGAAGGGAAGATCTGTAAGCCCTGCAGACACCCGTGGGAGCCACAGAGGAGCACCCACCCTTTGCTAGGAATTTCGGGGAATCTGAGCAGGAAGTAGGGGGAAAAAACCCTATTTCTGGCAAATCTCCAAAATACAGAGAGACTCCCTTCCACCCTCCTAACCCTGCCTCCAGGCAAATTTCCCTTTGCAGGGAGTATTCGGACCCTCTGGCCAGTTTTACGAATGAGGATGCGGGACTGTAGGAGTCACAAATACGGCAGGCCTCTGCTCCCTCCCAGCCTCACCTCACCCTGACATTCTCTGGGCAAGTGCCCGTGGGGACAGTGCTGTCACCCAGCTCAGTACCAGAGGGGCCGACTCCACAGTGACTCTGGCCACAAGTGCCTGCGGCCCTGACCAGCAGAGACAAGCATGTGGGGTCCTCCCTGGAACATGAGAGGCCGCGCACCCTCGACCCCACCGGGCCTTAACCCTGAGAAGCAGCAGAGGAGGCCCCCTGCCCACTTTCCTAGAGGAGGCAGCTGACACGCCCACGGACACACAGCTAACACACCCACGGACACAGGGCTAACAGGTGGCAGTGCTGTAATTGGAGCCAAAGCCGGCAGGTTTTGGCCTAGGGCACAAGACCCTCCCCTAAAGGACTGCAAAAGTCCCCACCCAGCCCACCTGCCTCCTCCTGGGCCCTGCCCTCACCAGCTGGGGATCTTTTTGAACCCAATCTTGGCCTCCCCTTGCTTTAGGCCCCAATAGGCCCCTGCACCCAGGCTGAAGCCCACAGTCACTACCGAGCCCCCAGCCTGGGGGCCGGGCCCCGCCTCCACACCGTCCATGCTGTGGGGAGCTTTCTGCGGCTCCTCAAAAGCGTCCTGCTCATCTGCCAGCTTCCTCCAGCACCACAGCCTCCGGCATGGTCTTCCCTCGACCCTGGCGGCTCAAACGTGCTCCTTCCTGCTCCCTCTGGCCAACCCCCGCTCACCCTCCTGGCCTCCGAACTGCGGTGGAAGAGGGGTACCACCAGCCCTGCCAATGTGGACAGCAGCCCGCAGGGATTGTGTAATAGGTGTTCGGCATCGTTCTAAATGCTGTACACGTATATTAACTCACTGAATCTGCACAGCACAATGAGCCAGGACCCCCTAATGCACAGATAAGGAAACTGAGGTTAAGTTCTGGTCCCAGGTCACAGAGCTCACAGTGGCTGAGCCGGGATTTGAACCTGGGCAGAGGGTCGCCCTCCCTCACAACGCAGGTGTGCACAGAGGGATGGCTGGACATGGGGATCTGCGAGGTAGGCAGGCCTTTAGTGCTCAGAGGAGAGCTGGGAGGAAATGTGGAGCCTCAAAGGGGCTGGGACTGCCTCTAAAGCAGGAACCTTTCTCCCCAGACTCCAGCCCCCGAACACCCCAACCGCTCTGCCTTACCAGTGTCTCCTGGCCAAACACAGCCTCCCCTGCCCGGCCTCCCCGGGGCCAGAGGGACTTTGTGTGGTTCTCCAAGGAGCGCCAACCCCACTGCTGCGCGTCCTGCAGCCTCCTGGCCTGGCCAGCACGTGGGCATGGGTAGGCTCCCACCTGTCCAAGCTCAGACCCTTCCTCCCAGTGTGTTCCCAGCCCGGGGCAGCCAGAACTCCAGAACCCAGGGCGTGGGCTGGCTGCCCAGAGAGAGAGAGGGCAGCTCAGGGCAACACCATGTGTTCTCAGCAGCTCCGGGTGCCGGCCATCCGCAGAGCTGCCCACGGACCTCGTCCAGCAAACCCTAGACCCCATGGGCTTCACACAGCAAACCACAGGACCAGGGACACTCATTTAAATGAAAGAGGTGAGCCCATTGGCATGAGCGCAGGCTGAGGGTAAGGAGGAGAGAGAAGAAAAACGGGTGGAAACCTCATACAGGGCAGCCAGCTGCAGGGGACAAGGGGCAGACCCCTGTCTGAGCACCTTAACCACATCCACAGAACCGGGGACCACAGAAGGGAAAAAATACCACTGCCCTCAAAACACTGCTGCAGTCCAACAACTGCCCCGACCTTCCTTCTTTACCCCACGCCTTTCCAACGCCCCCGAAACACCCCAGACCTTACCTGTTTTGTTTCCATGAGCATTTTTCACTATCCGAATGGCCACTGGTTTCAGGGGTGCCAGGAATTCTATAACATTTTTCTGTGGGGAGAAAAAAAAGTTTTCCTCCCTTTCTCAATCCAGTAACAAAAGTGTAAACCCCATAAAGAAACACAGGCCAAATTTCTGAATTCAGAAAGGAATACCAAAGGGTTTCACCCTTTATAGTTCCTCTCTTTCCTCTAAGTTATACACACGTTCTCTCCATCATAAAATAAAACTGCCTTGGAAAAACTTTTTTATTTTTTAAGGTGGAGAGAAATGATGACTTAATATAAAACAGTAAGGACACCGTTGGCATTTTAAGGTATTGTTTCTGATTATTTTTTCTTAAGTACCTTTCGACTTGATGGGGGTATTGATCACAAAGCCTTAAGTATTTACTACCTGGCCTTATAAAAAAAAGCTTTTAATCAGAAAAAGTTTGCCCATCCCTAGCGTAGCTGTTCAGTGAGACCAGCCTTTCTCGGTCTCTGTACAGCCGTCCCTGTTTCCTGACCCTGATGATGCCCCAGATCCTATTTCTCAGCCTTCTTGGTCCCCGATTCCTTCCAGCTCGTCCTCACCCGATGCCAAAGCCCCCACGCAGCAGAGCTCCTGGCAACCTCACCCTCGTGTCCTGCTCCCCGGGGCTCCTGGCCCCGTCCTGTAATTGACACATACCTCTGTGACGTTGAAGGGGGCTCCCCGCAGCTTCACGGTGTGGGGGGTGGTGGGTTCCTTCTGGTTCGCTGGTCTCCCTGTCTGAGGGATGGCAAAGAGCACAAATGGCCACGGTGAGCTCCCTGGTGCGGCCCAGATGCCGCAGGGGGTGCTCCGCGGATGTGCAGTCTGGCCAGAGCCCAGGGGTGGGAGGTGCCAAGCCGCCACGTGCCCCCGAGATGAGGGCTAGGAGCCAAGCCCACCACACTGGGGGTCAGCTCACAGGGGCCCCAGGCCACACGGAGGGGCAGAGCCTGGGGAAGCAGCCCTAAGGTCCAGCGGCATTTGCTCCTGCTGAGTTAGGGCTCACACGGTACCAGGCGCTGTGCAAAGCTCACTTTGCAGGCACGACTGTCCCCTTGAATCTTTAAAACAATCTTACAGGGATTAGAGATTCGGGATGTTTTTTGTAATTTTGGAATTTAAACAGCTACGGGAAGCCTAATTTTCTGGCTAATGCCTTTGGTCACAAAACCTGCCCTGAGCTGCCGGGATGCAGTTTAGGCTTTGCATCCACTCCAAGGAGCACTAGTGGCCATTTCACAGCAGCAACAGCCACGTGCTTGATTTTGGGGTGCTGCCCTGCACATGGTCTGGGGTCTCTTCCTGAAAGCTGGAACTTCTGAGCCCCAGCGTACACTCACGCACACAGGTTTTGAAAACTGGACACAGGGACCAGTACTCTGCTGAGCGTGGATTTTAGATGAGGATCAGTGGCCCGCAGAGAAGCACCAGGTCCCACAGCGGCTCCGTGACAGAGCTGGGATTTGAACCCAGAGCTCCCTGACTTACCACACTTGACTGCCTCTCTGGGAGATACATTTTGAGAAGAAAAGGACAAGGGGTGGCAATTAAGGGGGCAGAAAAGGAAAAGAGGAAGAAGGGGAAGGAGAAAAAGATGGGAGAAGAGGGACTGGAGACCCAAAGGCTGTGTGAGGCCGCCCTGAACAGAGAGGACTCCCAGGTAGGACACAGGGTGGCCGTCCCCAAAGGTAGCATCCATGTTTGTATATGACCCCAGAGCCTGGCACGCCTGGGTCTGGGCCTGGGTCCTGACCCCACCACTTCCCAGCTGTGACCTCAGGCAAGTCACTTTCCTTCTCTGGGCCTCAATTTCCTCATCTGTAAAATGGGACCAGAATCCCCAGTCCCCCGGACTGTCCTGAGATGCAGTGACAAATGGCAGCCATGGTACCTTGTCTGCAATAAGTGCCCAAGGAACTCCACCTATTCTGGCCGACCTGGGGCTGACATCTATACCTCTTGCTACTAAATACAAACAA